CCGAACTGTAGTCTGGTGCATTTAAAGGCACCTCTGTGAGTTACTATGGTCTGCGCTTCTGCCGTAGCATCATCTACTGGCAGCTGCTGGTACGCCTGCACAAGATCTAATTTTGCGAATAGCTTGCCAGGCCCCAGGGAGTGTAGTAGATGGTGGACGATCGGAACGGGATAGGCGCTCTCCTGCAACGCTTTATTGATCATACATTATAGTCAGCGCAGATTCTGATTGATCCATCCGATTTAACTGGTGTGACTATTGGGGTTTCCCACTTGGCGTGATCTACAGGAACCAATACCCCTTGTCTGATTAGTTTGTCGAGCTCCGCATCAATTTTGGGCTTTAAAGTGAATGGAACCCATCTCGCTTTTAGTCTGATTTGGGCCACGTTGGGGTCTAAATTAAAGGAGATAGGGGTCCCCACGTACTTGCCTAGAGTCTCCTCAAAAACATCCCGAAACTCGTGAAGGAGGTTTTCTTTGAGTGATGGCCCGCCGATGCTGTGGACTCCCGTGAAGCCCATGCTGAGGGCTCGGAACCATGCCATGCCCAGGAGACTTGGTAGCGGCTTGCTGACGATGGTCGGAGCAGTTCTTTCTGGAACTCGCTGTAGGTGACCTGGAACATGCCCACGCCTTCCACAGGAACTCGGTTTCCTTGGTAATCGAGGAGGCAAACTCTTTGTCGTGACAGCTGGGTTTTCTGGATCTTAGGCAGGAGTGCTTTGAGAGTAGTCCAGGACATGATAGACAGGGTAGACCCAGTGTCGATTTCCATTTCGCACGGTCTGCCTTTGATTTCTACTTTCGTGTAGATTTTCTCATCATCGGTCGTGCTAGCTTGGCTGATTCTTGTGCTGTAGGTCTCCCGCTTTTGAATCTCGCGCCGTTTTCTTGCACCGTCATCTCTGATTGGCTGTTTTGAACGAGCAGGTTCTGGTTGGTCGCGGTAGTCACGTGGCTTGGAACTACGCGGAAATTGAGCTCTACAAACTCATGCTAGGTGGCCTTTCTTTTTGCAACGCCTGCAAATGGTGTCTTGGTATTTGTGGCGGGGATCTCGTGATCCCCGCCACAGCTAGGGCAGTTCTCGTGGTGGCGGCTTTGCTCGCTTTTTTCTTTTCCTTGTGGAAGACATCTTCGTCTGACTCTTCCTCTGTGCTGGTTCGCGCGCCTCCTCTCTATGGACGGGGGCTGTTTTAGGGCCGTCTTTGCTTGGCAGTGGCCATTGTAGCACTTCAGAAGCCTTCATGGACGCTTCGTGTGCTCTGGCTTTGTCGAGCGCGCAGGCTAACGTTAAATCTGGCTTCACCAGAAGGTGCCTCTGTAAACGAGTGTTTAATTTCTCAATTGCTCAAGTAGCGCATCGTCTAAATCTCTGTAATCACAATGCATTGCGGCTTTTTGAAGGGCTGCCACATATGCGCTGACTGGTTCTCCTTCCCTTTGTACACGTTGTCAGAGCTCGTAGCGCTGTACAAATTTCGAAGGAACTGGAGCATAGTGGGCTCTCAGGTTTGCTTGGAGGACGTCCCAGGAGACCGTCTGGGCTGGGGTTGGCTCACAGAGGGACTCGGCCATCTCGAATACGTCTGGGCTGCAGTGGCTTTAGAATAGGGCTCTTTTTCAGTTCACGGAGAGCCCTTGCATCTCGCTTGCTTCCAGGGAACTGGAAGCAATCGAACCTGGTCAGATACGATCCCCACTTCTCTCGGGTCGGATCGAAAGGTTTTGGCGGAACGTAGGCAGACATTGCCGTGTCTCCGTGTTCGCTTGTCACCCTGGCTGAAACTCAGAGCTCTTTTTGGTTTGCCTCTTGTGGCCTCAATCCCACCTTCGTCGCCAATGTTGTAGCATGGGAATAACGAGAAGCACAAGCAGGCTAGTGACAACAGCTCTTTAATTCAGGGTGAGACTTCAGCAAAGGAACACAGGCAACAGCCCTCTTTATATACATTTCAGGGGCAACCGTTAACCAATCCCAATTCACAGGTCATTTGAATTTCCCGCACAAAATAGATACATACATAACAATTCACTTAACAACCATAGTGGAACTTACATCGTAAGTCCAGTGCAATTACTAAATGTTTCACAATTATTATTGTGTCACTTAGCAATGGAGTCACCAGTCCCAATTGTGGTTGTTAAATGAGGACTACCTTTATTGTTTTTGACTTCTGCCTATAAAGAATAAGCTAAGCAAGCAATTTATCAATGCCTCAAATCCCCCCTCTTTCTATAAGCAAGTCCCAGCAGCAACCAGTTTCAGGATCATAGCCCTTAGCATAAACACTTTTACCTTTCTCTTTCTCTTGTTACCTAAAACCTCAAACACTTTCTTCTTCCACCCCCTCTTCTCCCACACTGTGATTTTCAGCCTCACTTGGGGATATGCAGGTTCTTCTTTTTGCCACAGGGTCTTTCCCAGTCCCCGAGTTAAAGCACTGTCCCCACATCCTTTTCTCAGCACACAGCTACATTGGCCTGAATGTTAATTATGTTGTTAATCTCTATTCAAACTCTATTTGGCAATGTTCTGACTCATAACTGAATAGTGTTGTTCTGATTTAGTGTGTCTAGAGGCCAAGGAATGGATTGATGCCTTTGCTGTTCTCCATCTTTTTCAAAGCTAGTGGGAAATTTTTTTACCCATCATTGACACTGCAGGAGTGCAACAGGTCTAGCTGCATGACCCTATATCCTGCTTTGTCATTGTTGTTGTTGTTAATTGCAAAGTCATGTCCGACCCATTCTCTGTTGTCCCCTTCTTCTTTTGCCCTCAATCTTTCTCAGCATTAGGCTCTTCTCCAGTGAGTCCTTCCTTCTCATTAGGTGGCCAAAGTATTTGAGTTTGGTCACATTCCAAAACAAATATTTTTTTTAAAAAAAAAAACCATCACAAAGTCAGCTGAGTTCTAAGCACTATTTCTCCATGAGCATTTTCCTCCATTTCCACTCTAATATTATTTCAGGATTATACTGGAATGGCAAGGGCTATCAAGTTGATTGCTCTCACCAATTTCTGAAAATGGAAACATCCAAGTATCATATTGTACTAATCAAGGATATAACCAATCTAAAACTAAAGAGAAATTGCCTAACAGTGAGAATAATTAATCAACAGAATGACTTGCCTCCAGAAGTTGTGGGTGCTTCAACACTGGAGGTATTTAAAAAGAGTTTGAACAACCATTTTTTTTAAAAAATTTGATTTATATGCCGCCCTTCTCCGGAGACTCAGGGCGGCTTACAATGCGTTAAGCAATAGCCTTCATTCTTTTGTATATTTTATACAAAGTCAGCTTATTGCCCCCACAAACTGGGTCCTCATTTAACCTACCTTAGAAAGGATGGAAGGCTGAGTCAACCTTGAGCCTTGGAGAGATTCGAACCAGCAGTAAATTGCAGGCAGCTGTGTTAATAACAGGGTGCTTTAAACCACTATAGTACCAAGGCTCTTTTTTGTCTGAAACAGTATAGGGTTTCATGCTTGAGCAGGGGGTTGGATTAAAGCTCTGTTATTCTGTTATTCTATACACCCACTCCTCCTTTAGTGATTGACGTCTGTTATAAGAATCAGGTTGTTAAGAGATATGACTGATAAAGAGAAAGAAACTGCAAAGATCTCTGCTTGCTTCTGTCTGATCTGTCTGATTTGGATAAAGTTCTCATTAAGTTTAGCTAGCATTATTCTCACTCCATGGCATGTTGTTGTCATGTGTATGAAACCTGGTCATAAATGTGCGTGTCAGTAAGAAAATGAATTACCATCATATTTTGAATGCTCACTAACATGATAATTTCTAAACCAGGAGTGGGCAAGCAAGCCAGCATGCCCTTGTGGTAGGGAACCATTTGGACAAAGTTTCCAAAGAAAGGCAAAGATAATCCCTGTATCCTATAAAAACATACTATTATATTGGTCTTGCACAAATTTGAAGCTGAATGGGAATGTCCACATCAGCCTGAATTGACCAATAAATGCTTCTCTGATCTCTGAATTGATCAATAAATGTAGTGTACAAATAAGCAATCAAATCATACTAGGAATCAATATAAATCATAAAGATACAAGCAACAAAGTTACAGTCATGCAGTCATAAGTGGGAGGAGATGGGTGATAGGAACGATGAGAAGATTAATAGTAATAGTAATGCAGACTTAGTGAATAGTGTTGAGGGAATTATTTGTTTAGCAGAGTGATGGCATTCAGGAAAAAACTGTTCTTGTGTCTAGTTGTTCTGGTGTGCAGTACTCTATAGTGTCGTTTTGAGGGTAGGAGTTGAAACAGTTTATGTCCAGGATGTGAGAGGTCTGTAAATATTTTCACACCCTTCTTTTTGACTCATGCTGGTCTTCAATGGAAGGCAAGTTGGTAGTAATTGTTTTTTCTGCAGTTCTAATTATCCTCTGAAGTCTATGTCTGTCTTGTTGGGTTGCAGAACCAAACCAGACAGTTATAGAGGTGAGATGACAGTTAGTTTTGTCCTGGGTGTTTTATTAAGAAAAAAAATGGTCATAGTGAGGACAATCTACTTATCTCTCTTGGTCCCCTTCCTTTCTATATGTCTTCAGGGTTTGTTTTTTTTCTAGATTAAAAAAAGCTCCCCAAATGCAAGGTGTACATGAATTTAAAAGGAAATACATCCCATTGCCATATATCATGAAGGCTATTTCTCTAATAGACATCACCACAAAAACGTAACTTGCAACAATCTTTTCAGCCTTCAAGGGAGTAAACTCTTCTTATCAATTGCACCAGAATACTTTTTCCAGTAGAGCAGGAAACATCTGAGGGTATTTAAACCCATCTTCCAAGTTCTGCTTCAGTATTGACTGTACAGGTAGAGAAACCATGGTTAAATGTTTGGCATCGGAGGCAATATATCATACATGTTTTACATGCTTGCGTATTGTCAACAGGAATAAAAAGGCGGTCCTTACAATACAGCTTTTGTTCTATGCTCATTCAGAGCTTCTCTTCCCTGACAAACTGCCACTCACACTTCCTCTCTGCGATCTGCTTGCAAAAGACCATGGACAGGGGTGAGTATGAAAGTTACCTTTTCTGAGAGTTCAACTCCTGCACAAATTCTTGATGTCCAAGGAATAACAGGTGTCTCTGATCATGTGCAGAGTGAAATCCTCTCACCTAAGGAGTGAGCAGAAAGAACTGCTCACATAAATCAGAAAGATAGACAAGTGCTCATATTGGTTCTCTTAGCTTCCTTAAGACTATGAGGAGAACTGACGGATTCAGATGATAAATCAGAGGAACAAATTTCCATCTATGTAATGTTTACATATGATAATCAAATATTCTTTTCTTTTAAAGATATTGGATGACTTGATTCACTAATGATTGAAATATTTTATACATACATACATACATACACACAAACACACACACACATATACACATATATCTAAATATATTTACAAATATATTTCATGTTATTTCATTATCAGTTAGAAATAAAATGCAAATTGCAAAACAGATTTTTTAAAAATTTACCAGTCTACATTATAACTGCACTGCTATTTATATATTAAGATATTTAGTATATTAACTTTTATGTTTCAATTGTAATCCCTTCGTATATTACCTTATTATATTTAATACACCTTACATTTTATTACTTTTAGTTTAGTTTAGTTTAGTTTAGTTTAGTTTTTTAGTTTTATTGAATTTCTATACCGCCCTACTCCTGGAGGACTCAGGGCGGTGAACAGCCACGAAATAAAACACATACACATACATAAAGATTTAAAATCGAATAAAACATATATATTATATGTCTTATCTGGGGGTCACAGAGGAGCATGCAGCTGTGGGGCTGGTTGATGTCCTGAAAGCCCCCCGCCACAAACTTTTTAAAATTGAATTTTAATCATTCTCGCTTTTCTTAAAATTTTATACACTGTTTTTATGCTTTAATATTTTATTTGTTCACCACCCAGACTGCCCATGTGAGGAAGATGAGTGGTTTCAAAATTTGATGAATCAATAAAAAATAAAATGTATTGATGAGAACTGTTTAATTCTAATTACATTTTTAACTTGACTATACTTACTGCTGTTGCTAGTTGAAAATGTTGATTTGTAGTTATCTTATAATTTCCAGGTTATTAATTTATAATTGTATAATTCATTTGTATAACTTTTGGGCATAACTTGCTTCTTATGTTATATTGCTATTGATATAATTGTTTATTTATTTAAAAGGGGTATATGGCTGACCTTTTTATGCAGCATAACTCTGGGCAGATCACAAAAATACAAAACAGACAAGAAAATAAAGCCATCCAACCAATGTTCCATAGCATTCTTATTCCAAATATAAATGCACTGGGCTCAATTCCCATATTAACCCAATGCTTGAGGGAAGAGCCAAGCCTTAACCTCGATCCTTTCTTAACCCTCGACTAGCAAAAATCAAAATAAATGTATTAAATTGAAAAAATAACAAATTCAGACAAGTTGTTTTAGGAAAATAGCTCCAGAGCTGAAATATGCTTAAAAAGCTAATTTAGAGATTTTCCATTTCCATTTTTCTTTTGATTTTTGAACCACTTCAGTTGTTGCTTTGGACAAACAAAGCTGCTTTTGTGAGTCTAAAGTAGATAACAGCCAGGTCCAGTCCCTTAACCAATTTTGACTTTTCAGAAGAAAATTTGGAGGCAGGAATCATGCAGGAGGGAGATAACTGTCCTTATGGAGCTCTAAGCCAGTAATGTACTTAGTAGGGATTACAAGTCCCCTATCCATCACTTTTCAAAAGAACAATCTAGTGAATCATTTTGCTAGCCAACACCTCAGAATCAATTATCTAAGAAAGTAGGAATCTCCAATCACACCCAAAGGATTGCTATTATTTTGGACATGACCCATCCATGATGGATCCACCCCCCCCATTAAGAAAAGGCAATACAAAATAACCTAGGTTACCCATCGCCTTTTGATGCCCTCCAGCTGGATTAGCCCAGATTCTGAGAATTGTAGCCCAAGAAGGCACCAAGCTATGGAAATCTTGGCAATCCATTCTGCCTTTAATTTGGGCCTAGGTTACTCAGCAAGTAATGCAATTGTGATTCTCTTTCTTTCTCACAAAAGGGCTTTTTAAGCATCTGTTGTATTCTCTCCTTCTCTAGATCAACAGTTGAAAGCTGCATTACTTTGGAAGCTCCCTCTCCTTTTCCAGGTACAATATAAAGCTGATAAAAACACTGTGCATCTTCTAACTCCAGCCCTTCACTTGCTCACTGCTGTTGCTGCTAGGAGAAAATCAGGCCTAAACTTACCCCCCCCCCCCCGCTGCCCCTCTTCAACTCTCTATGTTCCTTGCCCATTCTTTTCTTTGGGTGTCAAGTTATAAATGTTATAAATGTGACAATGGGGAACAGATTGGGGGATATAGATTAAGTCATCATGAATTAATATGTCATATGAATTAAGTCACTACAATCTGTAAACCACGGCTTATGACTTAACAAGAAAGTTGAACCTAGCCACTAAACCATCAACAAACCAGATTATGTCCACTGGCTCACTGTTTTACGAGTTGTTTTTAAGCCCTTTTAACTTGTTATTTGTGCTTTTTGTACACAAATAAGTTAATGAAAGGGAGGCTTTGCACAATCAACCACTGTCAGAGGGGATGGTCCTCTTCTCTCAAGAGTAGCTTTTATACTTTCCAGAAGTGTCTTTTTCATCACTTAGAAAACAAAAGGTGAGATAGGTTTTTGACCTGACAAAACATGGAACTTCTTGTTCCATGCTGACTTGTTATTCCTCAAATGTGTTTTACTATGTCCCCTTCTCTTGACTCCACCCTTCAGGGCATAGACTAGAGATGGTGGGTTTGCAGTTGAATTCATGGGGTGAAGATTGCTAAGCACAAATGTAATTGCTAAACAACAAACCACATCTCCCAACCTCATGGGCTAATCTTGATGAAAACTATGTGGTTAGGTTGGTGGCAAAGTTTCACTTAAACACTGTAAATTAATTCTTCTTCTTTCTTTTGGCACGCTCACTTTCACACAGGTAGAGAGAGCCCAAGGATAGTTGCCTTGTCCTCTTTCCTTTTTAGGCAATGCTGCTTTAAGTAAACCCACAGGATGTGGTTCTTTCACTCAATCCAGTACAGCAGAATTCAGTAACTGCAAACCAAATCTTTGACTTGCACCCAAAGTTAAAACCAAGACCAAACATTTGAACCACTTTTTTTCTATCAGGGGTGGAATTTGTAACCCCACCATTAAGGGAGTACAAACATTTCAATCTTCAAAGGGTTCAAAAGGCCTAAACATTTATTGCTGTGAGTAGTAAAACCTGTGCCTTGCACCAGTTTTGTACCATTTTATTCTATCAAGTCTGAGATTTATGCATCCTGTATACAACAGATAAATGGTATTGTCTTGTGCCTCTTGTAAGGAGCTAAGAAGCATCCCAATACCAATACTGATCCCCAACCAGCCTCAAAGCTTTCCATCACTGTCATGCTGTTTTGTTCCACTAATCTGTATCCAACACATAATTTCATACAAAACCTGGATGATGATGATGATGATGATGATGATGATGATGATGATGATGATGATGAAGAAGAAGACAGTTCAAACATAAAGCAGGTGCCTCCCCATTGCATCATTTTTTTCATTCTCTTCCACCTCCTCTACCTCAGTATCCTCTGTCTACATCTCTATGTTTGCCCTTCCTAAGTCCCCCTCTTTTTTTCCTCCATCTCCCCCAGTTTTGCTAACATTTTAGCCCTGCTTTTACATCCCTTCTATTTCAAATTTTCAAATACTTTATCCTGTTCTGCTCCCATTATTTCTTCTTTTCATTGTTCCATCCTTATTCCATTTTGAATCAAAAATTGGCTCAATGTAGTTCTCATTTTTCTCACCATTTGATTAGAATTTTTCCATCATTCTGTGAACTTCTTCATAGAGCCAACACTTCTACCTGTTTTAAACTCCCAGTGAAACTGAATCTTAGATGTCTTTCTGGAATTTTCCAGAATAACTGTCACACAAAAAATCAGTTTTTCTTGCTTTAGCCAACCCAAATCTAATTTATTTATGCCCAAGCATAAATGTATTTCTCTAACCACAACTAAGACATGTTCATTAAAACATTTCTAATGTTATGGTATATTGCTTTAGTCATATATTTTAAAAACTGTTAAAAGCTGTATAGGTGTTCTATTCTCAAACTTTCTTTGTCTTTTTTCAGACACATTTTTTTCTTGATGGATCAAAAGTAATGCACTATAACAATGATGTAGTTGATGATGCAATTAACTATGAGATCTGCCCAGCTCCTATAGGTCATAGGAGTATTCATAGGAGAATACTCCCTTCTTTCCAGGTCATTGAGTGACTTTCCAGGGTCACTTTAGATAGGCTGCAGGGTAAATCTGATATCTGATTCTCGTAACGGTATCTAACTTCACATTTCACAAAACACTTGCTAGATCATACATGTGTGTGTGTGTGTGTGTGTGTGTGTGTACATATAAAATTGTGTACATATATAAAAATTAAACCTGTATTTTTTAGCACTTTTTGAAAAATTGGTAGCTTTTGAACAGAAACTTGGTTGAAATCAGAAAGAGCTGGTTTCTGTCGTTTAAGTACTACAGGTTGTGCCACCATTCGGTGTAATGCAAGTTCTAACTCTTTTTGCCAAAAAGGGCTTTAATATGGCAATGCTTTTTACTCTGTTACAGTATTGGGGTTAGGACCCATTTTGCCCACTTATTTTGGCTTCATGGCTATCCACACAATATTTTGAGGCACTGCTACCACAAGGACAAAAATGAAATCACTACCAATATCACTATTCCATTACAGCACCAGACATTTTCCTTAATTTATCCTGCACTAAAACAAGGCCAGTATCATTTGTTGGACTCATCACTGTGATAGAACAGGGCTCAAGGACAGAGGAATCAAGTGTTATATTGTCATATTTTTTTCTCATTTTAAGGACTAAATGGGATTATCTAGTGTTGCCCTTCATATGTATCAAAGCCATTGGAAGGAATATTAGCATTTTCTATAATATTAGTTGTTGTTGTTGTTGTTGTTGTTGTTGTTGTTGTTATTATTATTATTATTATTATTATTATTATTATTATTATTATTATTTATATTTCTATACCGCCTTTCTCCCGTAGGACTCAAGGCGGTGTACAGTCAAGAAAAATATAGACACACAAACATCATAAAATTGCTAATTAAAATTATTACTTAGTTTGGTCAATCAAATAAAACCCAGAATTAGATAACATTTAAAAAATCATTCACATGTTCGTATGTTTAGCCCCGCCTGTTGGAACATCAGGGTCTTGAGGGCACGGCGGAAAGCACGGAGATCAGGGATATTCCATATCTCCGGGGGCAGTTCATTCCAAAGGGTTGGAGCCCCCACAGAGAAGGCCCTCCCCCTGGGAGTCGCCAGTCGACATAATTTGACTGACGGTACCCTGAGTAGTCCCTCCCTGTGAGAACGAACTGGTCGGTGGGAGGCTATTGGTGGCAAAAGACGGTCTCGTAGGTATGATATGTTGATATGTCAGAACCAAATCAAGAACAGTCCTTAACGTGGTTAATATCTAATGCCATTTATGGTTTCAATAAGCTGTTTCTGGAACATTTGGAAGAACATTTATAAGCTACCTTGCTGAAGACCATAAATAAGTCTTGTTTATAATTTAACATAAAATCTTCACTGACAAAAGGCAATCCCAGCACTGATCCTTTATGTGTTCTTGCTACATAAACAGCATTCATCTTTTTAAGTATTCTAATTCCTGCCCAAAAAGTAACCTGTTTTGAGGCTTTATTTATTTATTTCAATTTATATAGTAGCTCATATCACAGCTCTCACTCCACTGCTGAGGTGAAGTGTTACTTAGTTATTCATGATTCAGCCTGATTCAGAACACCAGTATTAGCTCTCTCCATTGATGATCCAAGTCCTGCTTCTGTTCTAATCACAGCAATCACTTAACTTATTTTCAAAGTGACTGATCTAATACACCATGAGATTATCTTTAGACCATTGTTCCTGGACCTTGGCTGTTTGAAGATGTATAGACTTCAACTCCCACAGAATTCTCAAACCATCATATTGGCTGGGGCAATTCTAGGAGTTGAATTCCACACATCTTCAAGTTAGCACAGTTGAGAAATCCTGCCTTAGACAACGTCTGATTAATGAGTGGAAGAGTACTTTAGTACAGGTATAGCTAAAGATGACTTAAATCTTTCTCATTCCTCAGTTATGGATGAGAAATGAGAAAAACTATGAGAAAACAGTAACACAGGAAATGTTGTGGTGATCAGTAAAAAAAAGAGAATTTCAGGATTTGTTTGTACTGTGGTTAAATACGAGCAGGGAAAGTTCCATAGACTACAATCCAGTGCCTATTTACCTTGTAGAAATAATATCATTTGAATTCAGTGGGACTTTACTTCAGAAATAAACATATTTCATATTGCTACCACCCTCCAATCTTGAACAAATATTTTTCTTTTTCTATTACATTCTTCCCCACTCTATATATAATGGAATAGAAACTCACGATTTCCAATAAGATTCTAAATTTTGGGAGTTGCTATCAACACACCAACTTGTAACAATTTAAGACAGCTGTTTCATAAAAGCTTTCACTGCACATGAAATCTAAGCGCTGAGCTAGACAAAATTTTACTTGCACATCTTTTGTTCCCCTTGCACAACTTTTTTTTAAAATAGCCAGTATTCATGTGCAGATAAATTGGGAGTCTGAGGGATTTATTTGTTTTTTGTTTTTTTTTAATTTCCTTAGCCATCCATCTCAATCCAACTGAGCATCTCTTTTGCTATCTAGATATAATACTTGCGTTGGAATGGAAACTTCTAAGGTCCACTCAGAGAAAGATTTTGCATATTTAACCCTTAGTAAAATCTAGTTAAACTAGAAAATGAAAAGTAGGTGAGAAGAGCTGAAAAAATAACCTGCAATGGAGTAAATAGGATTAAGAATAAAAGTGATGAAATAATTTGGAATTAAATTAAAGTGCAACAAAGCAGGAGGGAGTATTGTAGAGAGTATTGTAGAGATGTCTGTGGAGATGGTAATGATATGACAAAAAATGGAATTGATATCAAAATTGTAAGTGTTAATGTCCTGGAAAAAATAATGAGGAAAAGTGAAAATTGCTATGACAACATTTAAAAATATTATGGCAGCAAGTATAGATGATCCAACTGGGAAAAAAAGTTAAAATATGAGTGTGATTTCATTATATAGTAATTGTGCAATATTTTAGAATCAGTTTGAAGGCTACTACCATGCCAGATATTTGGAAGAATGCTATTATTGTTCCCTTTTACAAAGAGATAAATAACCTTGGAAAAAGGAATATTTGTTGATTTAGAGAAAGCATCTGAATTGAAAATTGGTTGCTGAATACAATAACCCATATATGATCAAAGTAAATGTTTATATGAGGATAAATAGAATGCTTAACTAATGACTAAACACTGAACAGAAAATATAATAAAGCTTTGATTGAGGATATCCCCTTGAAAGTTTAGTGCTTATGATGATATTTGAGATGTGATGATGGCTTGCACACAGATAATACAGCACTGCTGATTGCAACCCAAACAATTTGCAGCAAAATTTAGACTGCATCAAATTCATCACAGAATATTAATGTTAAAATTTGAATATTAATATTGATTTGAATATTAATGTTCCAGAAACCCTACTATTCGATAGGGAAAATGATTTCAAGGAATATATAAATGGTGAGAAAATACTATAAGTAGATGTACTTGTATGCCACAATAAAAGGTTTTACTAAGGTCAGAAAATGGATGTATAAATGTTAAAATTCTGCAAATAATAATAGAAAAATAATGAATTATATGTGGCCTATAAGGTTTGTAAAAAAAATAATGACCTGTGTATAAAAAGGCTGTTTTACCTTTTTCATTATTAGGAACTGAGATTTGGGTAAGTACAGGAAGTTGAATGCAGTAAGAATGGTATACTTAAGAATTATGTATGGTTTTTAAAAACTTTAAAAATAATGGAGGAATGAAGAAAGGAAGGAAGGAAGGAAGGAAGGAAGGAAGGAAGGAAGGAAGGAAGGAACCAAAAACACACTAAATGAAGAAGGGTTGAACATAAGTAAATCTAGAAAGGCAGAGTGGAAGGGTTGAGTGGAAGGGGAAGATTCAGAAAATTTTTTCTGGCTGTAGTAGATGAGCTGCTCAAAAAAAAACAAAAAAAAAACAAGCAAACGGGGAAAAAAAGGAAGACAAGAAGGCAAATTGGTGCAGCATGGCTGATTGGCAAGAACAAAAGAGTGAAAAGTACTATAATGAATAGTGTTGGATTTAACTAGGTTTAGCTTGATTCTTTTATCTGCTGCTTTTAATTTCTTTTGCTCCTGCTTCTCAATATTTTTCTGTGCCTTGCATAAAGCTACTTACTCCAAAAGGGAAAAATATGATGGGTAAGTGTATGCATACTATTTCATAATATTATTCCACATAGTTCCCTCCACCAACACACCTCTACTTTATGGGTTTGCATAAGTTCTTCTGCAGGGTCAGGTTTGATTACTACTTGAATGGGGGAACTCCAAGAAATACAGAGCTTTTGGGTAGACAAAAACACCTCCAAAATCAGAGACAAAGTATTTTGCATAGTTGATGAGAATACTGCATGAGCTTGCCCATTGTCATCAGGCATAAAACTTACTCTGGGTTCTCCAAGTATGGGATGAAACATTACTCCTTCATCTCGGGAATTCTGGGAAGAATAGACTAAAAACTTCTAATGGTAGCCTCATTAAATAATTATTTTCTAGGATTATTTGGAGGGAAGTCACCATAATTCAACTGAAATAAAACTAATGTTAGTTTATTATGTTTACGTGTTCTAAAGAAGAACATTCAAAGAATAGATCATTCTTACCTAAAGATCGTTTCCTTTGCAATACAAAAAAATATATATCACAATTTAAAAAAATATGGGGAGATAAAAATAACCCATGTTGTATCTCCCTTCTAGTTCTGCAAAGGTGACTTAATGATAAATAAGAATGACAGCCTTGGTGAAGATGCTACTAAAGAGAGCCAAATAACAGTGGATTACAACACTGAGGATTTTTCCAATTTTGACTACAGTCAGTTCGAAGAGATCTGCAAGAAAGAAGAGATCCGGAAATTCCATGCTATTTTCCTTCCTGTTGCATATTCCTTGATATGCTTTGTGGGACTGGCAGGCAATGGTCTGGTTATGGCAACCTACATCTATTTCAAGAGGCTCAAGACAATGACTGATGTCTACCTATTCAATCTGGCCTTATCAGACATCTTCTTTCTTTTGACTCTCCCATTTTGGGCTGTCAGTGCAGCCAAGCACTGGGTTTTTGGGGACTTTGCATGCAAAGCCATTTACCTCATCTGCCAGATGAGTTTCTTCAGTGGCATGCTGCTTCTTCTCTCCATCAGCATTGACAGATATTTTGCTATTGTTCAGGCAACTTCAGCCCACCGCCTTCGGTCCCAGAGAATGTTTGCCAGCAAAGTTACTTGTTCCTTGATTTGGACATTGGCTTTTATTTTTTCTGTCCCAGAAGTGGTCCATACCAGTGTTTATGAAACTCCTTTATACCCACCGCAATGTTTCATCACCACAGGTGATAATAAAGCCTTAACTATCAGTATAAAAGTATCTCAGATGGTCTTTGGGTTTTGCTTACCTCTATTTGTAATGTGTTTCTGCTATTGTGTCATCATCAAAAATTTGCTGCAACCCCACAGCTTCGAAAAAAAACATGTAATCAAAATCCTTGTTATGGTCATGATAGCTTTTGTTCTCCTTCAGCTCCCCTACAATTGCATCATAGTCCTCAGGACCATTTCAAAATACAACCGAACCACTGGCCAGTGCAATGCCATCAAGACCCTAGATGTGGCTAATGATGTGACTTACAGCTTGGCTTGCTTCCGCTGCTGTCTCAATCCATTCCTGTATGCTTTCATAGGGCTTAAGTTCCGCAATGATGTTCTCCGACTTCTTAAAGATCTGGGCTGCATCAATCAAAGGCAGCTCTGGCAATGGTCAACAAATCAGAAGAACAGCAGAAGTTCTGTTCCCACAGAAACTGACACCACAACTTCTTTCTCCCCATGAGTTGCTGGAAAATCAATATCACAGATGTCAATATCATCGGTATTTGGCAACAGCTTTCATCACCCATCATCAGAGATTGAACCAGGAAATCCTTTAGGTCTCACTTATTGGTGGGAGTATTTTCACAGAACCTGAAGAGACCCAACTCTTTTTTCTATTCCCCACTGGTCAACTCAATTTATCTAGATGAATTTGCTAAAAAGCAAAAATCAGGAGAACTACAGAAAGCTGTCTGCAGATCTTAAACAGGAGAACCATGCCATAGCTACAGCAAAGGCGAAGCATCTTCTTCTAAAGTTGAAGAGTGAATTAAGAATGTTGACATTCAGGAGACCTAATTAAAAAAAACTTGCAGACATAAAATGGTGAGAATTATTTAACTTCTTCACAAAACTGAGGAACAAGCAAGCAGATGATTTTTCCCCTCCCTCCTTCTCCCTCCCTCCCTCCCTTCCTTCCTTCATCTCTGGAATTTACATGTTATTGTTGCAAGGGGAGGGGAGCCCAAATGACTACCGGGTTTGATCCATTTCCCCAAAAAGTAGAGTGAAAGTGCTAAAATGTTAAACTTCCATAAAGCTATCTTTATATTTGTTCAGTAGAAGTTGATATATAAGAACAACAGTGAGGTGTTTCTTCATGTAGAATGATTTATAATTTCTTTTAATGTTATCTTGTATTATTCCACAAACTTTTCATGTAATGTTTGTATTTGTAATTTTTAACTTTTGTCTTCTTTTCTCTTTTCCATTTTAAAATTAATGAATAATAAACAAACAAATAAAACAATCTGGTTTAAGCCTGGGTTCCTATACTGAATGGTACATTTGATTAGTAATACATTAGAATATGCATCATTTGTGTTGAGGGAAAGAAAGACACATGCATCATTTTAATACTATAATACTACTATTATACTATAGTATAATAATACTATGTACAAGATTGTCACTAGATGTTATCCCATTTGTTTCTAATCACAGAATAATCACATTCTTGCACTTTCCATGCTATGATGAGCCTAGACATGGGTCTCTTATGATCATACAAAAGCAATTTCTTAAGTAATTCAATATGAGATTAAGTTCTTCATGTACATCTTATTTTTATTTTATTTTGTAATGGGGATAACTATGTGAAAACCTGAGCAATAGCATCCAGGGAATGGAGGAATGGGAAAGTTAGAATCCAAAAGAATCTTCTCCTTTTATGCTACACACCATAAACTTTCCAACAGTTGCTTCTCCAAATTTACATTTAGAGGGACCTTCCATAGATGCAGGAGTTTTTTCTTGATATGCAAATATTAGTTTTGCAGAGAGGCAGGAAAGGAATAGTTACAATCCCACAACAACAACAACAACTAAAACAACAATAACACCTGCCACTGATGAGGCATGCTTCTAGTTGATATTTACATAAATATGCAGAGGTTATTTTCATTCCTATTTTTGTCTAGTGCTTCTTCTTCTTTCTTTTTTTTTTTTTGTCTCCCAACTGTAGAACTCATTAACTGAAAGACTAGTAGGAAATATTATTTTCCTTCCTTCTGGAAGCAGAGACAGAGGGACAGATATTGGAAAGGAATAAAGCCAATACTTCAATCTTCCACAACCACAAGTCAATGGTCATTTCCATTTATCAAGCTGGGATTATTGAAAAACTCCCCTTCTACATGAATCACTAGTTCCCAGTACTAGTTGTTTTAGAAATTGCACTGACTAGAACTATCAAATCTGGCTTTGATAATCCAAATGAGCACAAGTCAGTTTTTTAAAAAAGATTTTGAGTTTGCAGACCTGGTATAATTGACAAATGACATGCTCCGCTTTCAATCATAAAGTTACAACAATTGAAGAAACATCACAGACCAAAGACTAAAGATATCCAATTGTTTATTTGAGGGGAAAAGTAGGCCATCTCAAAAAATGATATTTTTCCCCACAGAGCATAAATCTCTGTATTCTCAGATTGTAATGTTTTCTAAATAAATCCTAGTTCCTATCCCCAAATTATTACAGTAGAACATTACATTTTTTCAAAGAAACTTAAAATTCTTAAACCAAGAGGGTAGTCTATCTTTTAAAGCTTGATTGTACACAAATGATGTATGCTATATATGTGTATGAGTCGTTTCTCAATCCTCTCTCATTTGCTGCTTTTTAGAATTATTTGTAAATGTGTTTTTCCAAATCAGACACATTACAGATGGGTATAGATTCATGGATGCCTATCATACAACTTATTCTTCTGATATATATGTATATTAAAAAATAGATAAGATCACATGTAATCAAGGTTTCAGAGTTTCATTTCTAGAAAAAAGGATGCCGCAGCTCAAGTCTTATTCAAACTTAATCTTTTGATTTGGAAGATCATTGCACCCACAAACATACACACAGAGAGAAACACACAGGGAGAGAGAGAGAAAGAGAGAGATTTGAATTGGGGTCTCTGAAGCAACAGAACCCCAATTTGCACCTCCATCTATAATGACTACCCTCCAAATATGACATTGTGCCTTAAATAATGCTTCCCTAAAATCTTCCAATTTCCTTAAAGTTTTGGGTTTATTTTCCCCTGAAAAAATAATCTTACATTTTTCTTCTACCCCTTTTCAAAAGGATTTCTCACTTTGTGGCTGTCATCAGGTGGCAGAGAGTTTTGGTGTTTTAGATAGATTGATAGGTGCCATGGCTGTGTATATCTTGATATCACTGCGAGTAAAACATCAAAAGTGATCCATCTTATAACTGAAATATTGCAGCGGGGGGGGGGGGGGGAGGCTGTAACAGCACAAGGCTGTTGTACACAGCAGACAAAATAGGATATGAAAATTGGCACCAAACAGTATTGTGATTGTGTAATACCTCAAGAAAAAGTAGGGTAACAATTAAGTTAACAATTGTTAACAATTAACAATCATGAATCTAAACTAAATCATATGTGTAACTGCAAAGCAGAGATCACCCTAGTCTTCTCTCCCACTTTCTGGTGGTTCTCAAACTCATCATCAATGTAAAATAGAATTAATTAATTAATTAATTAATTAATTAATTAATTAATTAGTGAGTGAATGAATGGGGCTCCCCCTGGGGTGCACCCGGAGGCTCCAGCTGGTCCAGAACGTGGCCGCGCGGGGGATTATGGGGGCGATGAGGCGCTCCCATGTGACACCTCTCCTGCGCGAGCTGCACTGGCTCCCGGTGGTCTTCCGGGTGCGCTTCAAGGTGTTGGTGACCACCTTTAAAGCGCTCCATGGCTTAGGGCCGGGGTACTTACGAGACCGCCTTCTGCCACCAATAGCCTCCCACCGGCCAGTACGCTCGCACAGAGTGGGCCTCCTCAGGGTGCCGTCCGCCAGACAATGTCGGCTGGCGACCCCCAGGGGGAGAGCCTTCTCTGTGACGGCACCCACCCTCTGGAACAACCTTCCCCCAGAGCTACGTATAATAACAGACCTCCGGATTTTTCGTCGGGCCCTGAAAACCTATTTATTCCAACTAGCTGGGCTGGCTTGAGCTAAATTTTAAATTGATTTTAAATTGGGTTGTTTTAATTTACGGCCAAAATATTTAATTATTTTAATACTGTTTTTTAAATTTTGTATGCTCTGTTTTTACTCAGGCTGTGCACCGCCCTGAGTCCTATTTGGAGAAGGGCGGTATAGAAATTTAATAAATAAATAAATAAATAAATAATAAATAAATGCCCTCTTGGTTCATTTTCAGTGGTATCCATTATCTATTCTAGCACTTGAGACATACTACCAACCTGCCCAGTAGTTGGACCAGTTCTACTAAAAACTGTCATCTGCATCTCAATGGTACAAGTCCAGATACAATAGATACCTGATAATGCAAGTAGCATTATCAGGTTGCATCTCTTATATTTAGTGTTCAACAGAAAGTTGGTTGAGATTGTCAACAGTCCATTTCCAGAAGGCTATAATGACAGCAGGATAAGAAGGCTATAGTGACAGCAGGATAAGACTTTGGGGCAAAAATCAAGAGAAGAGCCCAACATGGCAGGACTAGTGTTTACCACATTTTGAAATAATGCACAATGTTAACTATTGGATTGGGGATGAGACCATTATGTTCAGATGCTAGATGAGTGTATAATATCAATTCTTAGAAAGAGCAGAGTATTAACGATGCTAGTGAAATACTTTTATTTGTTTTCAGATTTGTTTTTAAAATTCTAGGTTTATTATTTTTACAGATAACTCAAGGTGGTACATACAATACTTGCTCCTTTTATTTTTCGCATAACCACAAACCTGTGAGGTGAGTTGGGCTGACAGAAAGTAGCTGGCTGTAAGTCAATCATCTGGCTTTCATCCCTAAGGCAGAACTCTAACTCACCAGTCTCCTGGTTTCTAGCCTGATGCCTTAATTATTAGACCAAACTTTGCTAAGAAGCAGAATTGTTCTAGTCCTTTGTCTTGCAGATGCATTAATCATTGAAGAAAAGGTGAAGTGAAACTCTTTGTGTAACTGCTATAACCATGTGAGTTTCCATCCTCACTTCACATCTTGCTTGCTCATTCTTCTTCCCAGTCATGTGATCAAACAGGGTACAGAATATGAAGCTCTTGAAAACTTAAATAGAAATCACTTTTGGATTTCCCTATGTCCAGATATTGGCCGATGAGAAAATGAGAAATGAAATTTGCTGGCTGTAAAAGAAATAGAGTATGTATTTTAAGAAACAGAAGAAGAAAAATGTGAAAACTATCAAGATCCTCCAGATGCATTATAGAGGAAATTCCATTTTTGTGACTGGTTTGCATTGTGCAGATTGAAAAAAAAAGAGAGAATGTTCAATTATTTGCTTTTATGAACATGAATATTTTAAGAACCACTTTTTTATTTGAAATGTTTGAGGTTTAGGAACTAGCATAAGGAACTTAAGTGCCAAGAACCAAAATCACAGAAATGAACAGCTTTGAATTAAATTGAATATACATAGAATGGCTTCGATCTTGTGATACATGACAGTGTGATTTGTTTGGCTGTATCTCACTACATATTACATGAACTCAGATATTGGGGTGGATGATTTAGGTGATTGTGATTTAGTGTGTTACACAAATCCAGTCAAAGTAACTGAAGGTTACTTTTAAAACCAGGGTTAAATGAACCACACATATGTATGAACCAAGCCACTGCATTTTTTCAGAACTATTCTGAAGCAGCTCCTTTTTTTATTGCCTATATTCAAACTAAGCCAAAATCCATTAAACAATGACATGGCTTACCTCATAATATGTGTTCACCCTGGTGATTTGTCATGTTTAATTTATGGCTATCTGGCCTCTTGGGATAAACCAGATAGGAACCACAACCAGATGAGCTAATTCTACTTCACTGACAATATCTTGCAACTTTAAAATTACAATCCTTCTCACCCACCCACCCCCAATCCGTTAGAGTCTGAGAAACTAGGGTGGTCTCTTTTGATCCTCTTGACCCATCCACTATCCAGCTGCAGGTTATACTATCTCATATCTGACTGGTCCCTTAGCAGTATCTCTTGACCCAGGCTCTCAAGAATTTTCCCACATATCATTACCTCAGCTTGAGTGACAAATTCACCTCGCTGTAGTTTATTCAGCAAACCAAATTTATTTTTTTTAAATGATATTTACAGTAGTGCAATGTTGTATTAGATCTGTACTTTGAGACTTGTTTGAAAGAGACTTTATAGATAATGGACTATTAAGGCTAATATCATCCACTACTTCTCCAGCAATTTCTTGC